TAAGCCAGATGTACACCAAGGAAGCGGAAGCTGCTCACTCTCTCCACAGCAGCGCCGTTGATGGTGATGGGGGTGTATACCCCATTTCACAACATAAAAGATTCAATATAAGGCAAAAATCTCTTTTTCTGTCAAGCACCTCTGACATTTTCTTGGCTACAGCAGTTACCTGCTCCTAGTGTCATCACTGCATGTCCCCCGACAATGACAACATCACCACATCCCTTTGGCCTTATCACATCTGGGACTTCTGTGTGACCTCTGCTAGCCCACCCTGCACTGTGAAAAACGCCACTAAAGCCGACGAGTCCTGACAAGTTGAGAGTGAGAACGGACTGATGTTGCAACCAGCCCTCAGTGAGGAATATTTTTATTCAAGAAAGCAAAAAAATGAAAATGCTGTTTTCAGCATTACAGGGTCCTACACAGTGATAGTGACACACTCTTAGTTCGTGAGCTCGTACCACGCTGTTTTACAGTCACAGGGAGCCACTCATGGATCCCCAGGTGTGCCATATTACACAGTTTCACACTATTTAGCCCTATTTCCCCGGGCATTTGTGTGAATCTTTACGTTTCTGTAAGGAAGTCATGCACAGGCAAAATGGAAACACAACGGAGCAGAGGGGGTCCTACTAACTTTGGCTGCCCACTGCGTTGCTGTCTGAATGTGTCCCTGAAGATTTGTTTAATTAAGAGCCTGGAATTAACTGCACTCTGAGCTTTGGAAAGAAGAGAAACAACATCAAAACAACAACATAGCAGCCTACCACCCTCACATAACCCAACCCTGTATGCATAAAACCCACCACTCTGATCTAGGTCACTCAAGAACTTTATCAGCTCTAAAACTCTAAAACAAGAACTTTATCAGATACCCTCCAAACACAGCATGTAGATTTGCATCTGTGTAATACATGAGATGCATTTTATGTGAAAAGTGTATATAATGATGGATCTGCTAATTGTATGTGTCTGCCTTACAGAGACTTCCCAATGGCTCTATAGATGCCCACGATGACGGCAGCAGGGCATCTGAGCTTCAGGAGCTGCTGGATCGGACCAATAAAGAGCTGGCTCAAAGCCGCGAGCACTGTGCCACTCTTAACCACCGCGTCACTGAGCTCGAGGCAGAGCTTGCGAATGCACGCAGAGAACTGAGCCGCAGCGAGGAGCTGTCAATCAAACAACAGAGGGAACAGAGAGAGGTGACAGTAAAGGATGGAGTCAAAAAATGTGCTTTGGTTCTGGGAGCAAGCAAATGTTCAACTTTGCAAGGAAGAAAAATTTAAACATTTTCCTCATAAATCAGTTGCTGATTTATGAGGAAATGTCGTGGACCTCTATTACTCCCTATCTTGTTATTTCACAAAGTAACAAGATTCTTCTTATGCCATTGAGTCATATTCTCAGTCCTTCAAAAAGACCACATTGCATAAAGGCAGATAGATTTGTGTATTGTGGATGTAGCTATTTCAAGTAATTAATTAGAAGAAACTTTTTAAAGTTCATTACATTTTGGGAAAATATGTAATGAACTTTACAAATATATATAAAATATGTATATATAATGTATATAATATTAGTGACCCTTATTCCACCAATATATTTAATATACTTCTTTAATATTTAATAGATTTCTTTTCAAAGCAACATTAGTTATGCAATTAATATTAATATCAAGAAAGAAATATTATAATTATTGCAAAGTTACTATTAGTTAGCATATTATGCAAAACAAAAAACTTTGCTTTTCTCTAATAAAACTTTTATTCCAAGTGTAATCCATACTATTATTTTAAAGCTTCCTTTGACTCTAGTATCTGTTCATTTTCAGTAATTTCAAGTAAACATTGTTTTTTGTTGTATTTGTATATATGAAAAAACTCTTGGTCTGGGTCATATTGAAACCAAAAACCAGTCAGTCCTCTTCAGCATGTCCTGTACCACAACTACTCACCGAGACACATCCCGGGGGCATCCTGATCAGATGCCCAAACCAACTAAATTGTCTCCTATTAGTGTGGAGTAGTGGCTTTAGTCTGAGTCCCGCTGAAATAACCAACCTCCTCAGCCTTCATTTCTCCCACTTGTATCCCTGGTCTTATTATTATAGTCACCCATGACCATAGGTGAGGGTGGAATGTAAACACAATTGACCTATAAATTGACATCAGCACCAACCTGCCTGTTGGTCTTCCACTCCACCATCACGTGAACAGGACCCTAAGATGCTTAAATTCTTCCATATGGTGTAGCAACTCATGCTAGACCTGGAGTGTGCACACCGCCCTTATCCATCTGAGAGTCATGACCTAATAGTCAAAAGTGTTACTTCTCATCCAATGTTTCACACTCAGCTGCAAACAGCCACAGTGCAAGCCGGAGGTCACTGTCTGATGAAGCTACCAGAACCACATCATCTGCAAAAAGCAGAGACAATATTCAAAGACCACCAAACCCTCTACCCTCCACCTCCGGCTGCCCCTAGAAATTCTGTCCATAAATATTATGAACAGAATCGGTGACAAAGTGCAGGCCAGCCTGCTCAGTGTGACTTACCGCTGGCAATGCGACCCAAGCTCTCGCTGCAGCTGTACAGGGACCAGAAACGACTGGAAACAACTTAAAGCTAATCAGACACAACAGGCAGTTTTAGCACACATTTTGCCACAAGCTTTGCTCAGGGCAGGGCTGTGACAGGAGGATGGAGCAGTTGCTTACTTCCCGTCTGTGATTCAGGAGAAAAGGTAGCGTTTGTTGTCAGCCGATATTCCAACTAAGTGTTGGACATACATGAATGAGTTTTCCTCATTCCCAGAGATGATGAATCCAGCGATGGAGTCTTTTTTCTTTAAAATGACCGACAGAGTTCCCATACATCTCCTGGATAAAGTGTGTTTCTTTAATTTAGGAACCGTGGCAAACATTAACTGAATACTGAAAAATAAATCGGTATACTATCTATCTGGTTATACACAGGGGAGAAGTACAGTATAAGCAGTAAACAAGGATCACTTAGCAGTCACTTCCATCTTGGTCCAGCGTAGCAGCGTAGCCATTTTGATCAGTGTACAGTTTAAATTTTCTTGAATGTTTAAAAATGCACTGATGAAAACCTGGAGATGGATAAAAACTAAAGCTTAGCTAAAAACATTTGCTCCCTGCAAGTGTAGTAGACATGATCGACTGTTACTATATGACTTGATTGTTAATGTTGTGTTTCTCCACCTGCAGAGAGAAGATATGGAGGAGAGGATAACGACATTGGAGAAACGCTATCTGGCTGCTCAGCGAGAGACGACACACATCCACGACCTCAACGACAAGTTGGAAAACGAACTAGCCACCAAGGACTCCCTGCACCGACAGGTAACACTCGGCAGCATTAGCCACACACAGTTAAAAACCCAACAGTCTGCATAATGAGCTTTATTACAGGCTGAGTGCATAATTGTCATTCAGAAACATGCATTTGTAGATAATTGTTTTTAAAACAAAAGTTAAGTGGAAATAGATGATGGTTGACCTGCTTAATGTCACCTTTCTAAACAAACAACAAGGTAGGCATTTCTGTCATAAACAGCCATTCAGTCCGTTTTTAAGAATGTTTTCATTCCTCTGCTGTATTCAGGCATCCTTGACTGTTTTATAATGTTAATGTGTTGTTAAGGGATACCAGAAATATCACATTTATTTTGATACACTGTGACATGAGTGTATTAATTGTGCATCCAGGCTTATGTGTGCTGTTTTTATTTCTTTTTAATATTTCATGCCTCGGCCATCTGCAAAAATACATTTAAAGTTTGGGAGAGTATTATCGTCAGTGAGTGAGCAATCGAAACACGCTGCTCCGAGGTTCATGTGTAGTTCAGGGTGAATCTAAGTTCAGCTCCGCATGGGAAACACCAGCAACATCCTCTGTGAATGACCATATGTTATGTCCTTGCTACTCGCTGGCTGCAGTAGACTGATTACACCTCTCTTGTGATTGCAATAATATCACTCGTGTGTGTGCGTGTGTGTGTGTGTGTGCGTGTGTGTGTGTGTCTGTCTGTCTGTCTGTCTGTCTGTCAGAGTGAGGAGAAGGTGCGCCAGCTGCAGGAGATGCTGGAGATGGCAGAGCAGAGGCTGGCTCAGACCATGAGGAAGGCTGAGACACTGCCAGAGGTAGAGGCTGAACTGGCACAGAGAGTGGCAGCGCTCTCCAAGGTAACACACACACACACACACACACAAAGCTGTAGAAGCTTTTGCAAATGTTACTGATATAACAAGATTCACATGGCTTACAAATAAAAAACATAGATAAGATTGCAGGAGAGCAGTGTTCTTCTTGAGGCAGTTGTACAGACATGTGCGTGTCTCCCCCTGCAGGCCGAGGAACGCCATGGCAACGTGGAGGAGCGGCTCAGACAGCTGGAGTCACAACTGGAGGAGAAGAACCAGGAGCTAGGAAGGGTGTGTGTGCCTGTGTGTATGTGTGCAGCAGCCCTGCAGGTTCTCTCTGACCTCTCACGATAATGCGTGCACGTGCGGGCTGATGCCCCACATTAGCTGGATGCCTTGACTCTTGGCTGTGTGCTCCCTCATGCATACATGTACATACGCAAACACACAGGAAACACACATTCAAGAAGAGTTCTTTATTTTCCCGGTGCACTGTTGCATGAATTCAAACCAAATTCACATATCTTGCTGCAACACATGCACACACACCCCTCTCCCCTATAAGACTGATTGGCTGCTATCTTTAGACTCTGAATAATTCACGCAAGGCTAATTTCTCTCGCTCTCCATGCGATCTCATGACTATATTTAGTAAAAAGAGCTTTCTGAGGATGCAGATGGGTGTTTGTGTTTCCCCATGTCAATTTAGGTGAATTAAATTACTGCAGAGTACATATTAAGCAGAGCGCTTCACGTTTAAGAGAAGCCATTTAACCCCCCTTTTTTATCATGATGTAAATGACTGTAATTAAATCATTCAGACTGTTAGATCCATTGTTGGCCAAGAAGACCTATATCTGGCAGCTGGTGATCTAGGGCTAAATACACACTTCATCCTTTAATCCGTGTAGAGATGCCTGATTAGCTGCATAAATACACCCACGTTGAGTCTGTATCAAAGAGAAAATTTGATGATGTCATTCCTCTCGTCTGGTTTCTCCGTCTCTGCTCATCAGGCTCGTCAGAGGGAGAAAATGAACGAGGAGCACAACAAGCGTTTATCTGACACTGTGGATCGTCTGCTCACCGAGTCCAATGAAAGGCTGCAGCTACATTTGAAAGAACGCATGGCTGCCCTGGAGGACAAGGCAAGGCCTGTGTACACGCGCTCATCAAAGCAACAGCATCATCTCATATTGTTGTTGTTTATGGTTCACAAACCAAATTAATGCGCAGTACAAGACATGTTCTTCTTAGAGGACAGATCTGTTCAGATGCAGGGTCATGTCTGGTTTCTATTGTTTTGTTTTGTTTTTTCTCAGAACGCTCTCATTCAGGACCTCGAGAACTGCCAGAAACAACTTGAAGAATTTCACCACACCAGGGTTAGTATGGCTTTGGTGAATCACCTAAAAACCATTAAAAAAACACAATTGTCTTCTTGCTTTCAACGTTCCTGCCTCATAATAACTGGTGACTTTTTACAAAAATACAGTTTTCTTGTCCATGTGTCTTGACTCTTTTAATTTCATACAAATTTTTAGGAGGTGATATGAATCAAGTCATGTTATGGATTAAATTTCCCACAACCATACAAAAAGTAGCTGAAATGACCTCCACTTTAAAAACTAGCTAACCACCTTCAAGAGTTAGTCAAACCTATTGGGAATATTTGCTATAAGCAAGGCTAATTTTGGCATGGCACAGTGACCTGGAAGATTTTGTTACTTTCACACAGAGTCAGGTCAATATGTCTCTATTTCTCTTATACTTAGTGCACAAACAACCAATATCCATTTAGTACTTTAGTTGTTCTAAGGCTGAGCACACATTTTTCTTTAATACTTAATAGAATATTCATCCTTGATCAAATATTTTTGTAAGCTAGACTTTTTACTTGGACTTTTACTTAGCCTTAGTCTTGCTATTTTTTGCTTAAGAAAAAAAATCTATTGTCCATAATGCCTCCATTTTTCCTTTAGGAACGTCTGATTGGAGAGATTGACAAGCTAAGAAATGAGATTGACCATTTGAAACGCCGCAGTGGGGCTTTTGGAGATGGAACTCACCCTCGGTACATATAGCTGTTCCTCTGCGTTCCTCCTCGTTCCTCTGTCCTCCCTCATACCACCATTTATACTTTACCGTACTATCCGTCATTTTTTCTGATCTGTTCCACGTATAAAATTGCAGATCTCACTTGGGTAGCTCCAGCGATCTTCGCTTCTCCGTGGTTGAGGGCCAGGATGGCCACTACAGCACAACTGTGATCAGGCGGGCACAAAAGGGCAGACTTTCAGCGCTGCGAGACGACCCAAACAAGGTGGTTATTGTGTTTTTTGGGTTTTTTTCATATCCCCAAAGAAACCCCACAGCTCCTTGCATACACACACAAACATGATTGCAGAGATCGAGATCTCATTTCAACTGCTCTTCTAACCACATGCAGCTGCTTACGGGTGCTTAATCCAGGTTCATATCTGCTTTGCTAGTAAGTGTCAGTGCTTGGCTGATGTGTGATGATCCTCATGCCTAACTTCCCATTTTCTACTAACCTCTGTGTCTTCCTGTCTCTCTCACTTGCTGCCATGGACATGCTGTGTGATGTAAGTTTCCTGTTCATCCATTTATTCTCATAGCTGGCCACAAGTGTCATATAGTGATTTTTAAGTGTATTGCATTTAATCAGGACTCATCCATGCAACACGTTCTTTATGTATATTTATATGTGTTTTTTTCAAGGATGTGTTGTATTTGTGTTGTATTAAAAAATAACCATTGTTGGTGTGCGTATGCCAATGTGTATATGCTCTCTTTAGGTGTGTGCGGTGTTTGAACAGGACTACCCATCTCTGCGTGGGAGCGTCAGCCACCTCCTTGGCAGCGACATTGAAGCAGAGTCAGACCTGGATGATGATGTTAGCTCAGCCCTGCTTTCCCCCAGCGGTCAATCAGATGCTCAGACTCTGGCCCTCATGCTGCAGGAGCAGCTTGATGCTATCAATGAAGAGATAAGGTGGCGTTTACAGGCACATTACATTGCAGCTTCAGTCCCCGTGGGGAAGTTGGGATCAGTGCAACACCAAGAAAAAAGATACAGATAGGAAAAGTTCACAATACCAAATACAATACCAAACCAGCTACATGAAAAGGAACATGATGACGACTGTGCAACTAAATAAAGGTGCTGAAAAAAAGGCCCGGAGTCAGACAGAATGCACCATGACCGATAGAGACATTTTATTTAGAGTCATCTCAAGGTCCCCATACTGTAACATAAAGACCCTATAATAATACAGATAGAAAACTAATGATCCACTGATCCCCTATGGGCAAGCAGTAGTGGAAACAAAAAAACTTCATTATAACAAAAAGACACCTCCAGGCTCAGGAATAGAGGCCGTCTGCTGTGAACAGTTGTGTAGACGAGTAACCAAAGTGAGGAAGGAGGGCACAAAAAGATAACAAAAAAGCATAAAGGACAAAGCACAAACTACGCCAGAGAGAAGGCACAAAGCTACTGGCATATAATAAATGCATTGACAGTGAAAGAAAGGAAAGCAGAGGAGAGGAGGTGCTCAGTGTATCATGGGAGGTCTCCAGAAGGCTGACTCTATAGCAGCATAACTGACAGGTGTTTCAAGGTCATCTAATACACACATAATGGAAAGTTTGATCAAAAAGATGTCTTTTAATCTTAATATTAAAAGCAATGGGGAAGGTTTAGCTCTGAAAAAAAAAAAGGTCTGGACACTGGTTCCATGCAAGAAGATAGCTGAAGGCTCGGCCTCTACTTTTGGAACCTCTATGAACCATAAGTAAGGCTGCTCTATTGTAATAATATGGTACTGTGAGGCTTTTAAGATGCGATGAAACCTGATCATTCAGGACTTTGTGAATTCAACTTCCTGATTAAAAGAGCTTTTAAAGAGTCAACGGATAAATGCAAAAAAGAAAAAAGTGAGAAGTACAGTTGTGAGTAAATCATCAAGGGGAAGGCAGAAACAAAATGCAATTACTGTATACAAAAAATAGACACAGAGATGATTTCAGGTTGATAGAACCTTTCACTTATTTTTCCTGCTGAAACAGGATGCTATTTTCTTTTTCTTTTTTTTTAACAGTTTATACTAAACAAGGTCCTCATTTTGACACCTCACAATATGCTGCAGGAAAGAAATTGCAAAGTAGCTGCTGATTATGCTGCAAAAGAGCCACACTCCCTCAAAGCAATAAAATCGTAGTTACACTAATGGTGTTTTATATCCATTATTTTGGGATTATTGCTCTTTTTCATCACACTTTAACCAGTTTATTTAATATCATATATTACCGTTTCCTAGATTTACTGAAAACAAGAAACATTTTATCACTGCGTGCAGAACAAGAACTAAAGATGAAAAAAAATTCAAAGTAAATAGGAAAGTAATTATTATGGATTTTAAATTACTTTATCGATCACTGCAAATATATTATCTGTAACGTACGAGTTAGTTAAGAGACAGCAGGCCAAGTGCTCGACTTTACCGGGTATCTGTGCGTGTGCGTGTGACCAGGATGATTCAGGTAGAGAGGGAGTCTGCAGACCTGCGCTCCGACGAGATTGAGTCTCGCGTGAACAGCGGCAGCATGGACGGACTCAATGTGACGCTACGACCACGGGCCCTGCCCACTTCCGCCACTGCTCAGTCGCTGGCATCATCCTCCTCCCCACCCACCAGCGGCCACTCTACACCCAAACATCACGGGCGCAATACCAGCCACCATCTAGGCATAATGACTCTGGTCAGAAAGCACACACGCGCTAAGCCTGTCATATACACACAGACAGCAGTATGTGGAAGTTAAACAAAAGTGATCTTACCATGTGCTGTTTTGTTTCTTTTAGCCAAGCGACTTGAGAAAACACAGAAGGAAAGTAGCAGTAAGTTTGCAAATGTATCTTATATCCAACAGTCTGGGTTTTTGACTGTTTGTCTCACTGTCTACTTTTCCATCTAAGCTGAGTCACCTTTGTTTTTTTCAGTCCCCAGTGGAAGTGGACAAAGCAACTATCAAGTGTGAGACATCACCTCCTTCTTCCCCCCGCAGTTTACGGCTGGAAACCAATTTTGCCCAGTTCACTGGCAGTTTGGAGGATGGACGAGGGTAAATACACACATTCACACGCTCACACTAACAGTAACACGCAGCGAGTAAATGAAGACAAACTGTGTCACACTGGAGAGGACAAAGGCAAAGGTCTAAGTACCAGATTTAACAAAAACATACTACTATGTCCTCTGTGGGCACCAAATTATTGTTGATGGTAATGTAAATGCCATATTAATACTATTTTGGCTACTCTTTGCTGCAGCAAACAGAAGAAAGGAATCAAATCATCCATTGGGCGATTGTTTGGAAAAAAAGAGAAGGGACGAATGGACCAAACTGTTAGCAGGGAAGGACAGCCTCTACCAGCTTTATCAGGTACATTGCAGACTACAAACCACATAACTGCCCACGTTCATCCACACTGTATGAGTGATTGTGCATTTACAGAGAAAGAGACACATATACTTATTTAAACTAATTTAATTACATGTAAATCTTGCATGTCATTTTGTTACACAAGTACCATATAAAATGTTACATGAATGATTAATTATTTGACTGATAAATAAATCTTTGATTTTATATGTTTCAGTTGCATTTTACTCAAAATCTGTGCTTTATGTTTATCAAGTACGAAGAATCAATATTTTGAGGGTGTCATATTTCAGACTTTGAGATGGGGATCGGTGACACTATGACTCTGGGAAAACTGGGCACGCAGGCTGAGAGGGACCGAAGACTGAAGAAAAAGTAATGATCAATTTGTTTTTCAGTTGTTGCTAAAATGATTTAGAAAGCCATCTTTTTTTATTATTTACTTACATGTCTGCCTTTACTTTTAATACCCTCCTTAGGCATGAACTTCTGGAAGATGCAAGAAAAAAAGGCCTGCCATTTGCTCAGTGGGATGGGCCTACTGTTGTCTCATGGCTAGAGGTATTCCACTAATCTGCAAACCCTTCCCAGTTTCCATAAAAGTGACCTCTATTTATGCCAGGCTGCCATCTGTAGGAGATGAATGCAGTATTATCAGTTACCGAGCTGACACGTGGCCCGATCTGCACTAACTTCTTCTATAATTATGACCATTTATGGGGAGAGTGGTAATGACGTTGAATGTCTTGATGACTCTCACCAGCTGTGGGTGGGTATGCCAGCCTGGTATGTGGCAGCTTGTCGTGCCAACGTGAAGAGCGGAGCCATCATGTCAGCTCTGTCAGACACAGAGATCCAGCGGGAGATTGGCATCAGCAACCCTCTGCACCGGCTCAAACTCCGCTTGGCCATCCAGGAGATGGTCTCTCTCACCAGCCCCTCTGCGCCGCTCACTTCCAGAACGGTAAACAAACACACCCACTGCACCTCAGATAACACAACTAAATGTTTCTTACAGGCACGTAATTATGCAAACATAAATACTTAATACATGAGTAAATAAGCTCCTCGAGCAAAGAAAAAAAAATCCAGGAATGTGACATGAACAGTTTTTCAAAAGCTGATCCACTTTTCGTCTTAAGCTTCACTCTGCACTCTCAAGTGATGCCTCCTCACACTTTTTTTGTGCTTCTGTTCAGACTGCAGTAGAGGCTTGATTCATGCCTTCAACTAGGCTGACTTGTCCTTTTCAGCTGCCATAAATTGCATGGGTTACCGTGGGGAAACAACACACAACTAGTGCCAGATAAAGCTACAAGCTACCTGCCTGAAATACACTCCCTCCCTTGGCATCACTCAACACAATGTTTGTCTCTGTGTGTGTGTGTCTTTTTGTCTGTGTGTGTGGGTGCGTGGGGGTTGAAATGTGTGAAAATATACATGAGTGCATTCTTGGGTGTGTTTGTGTGCGCCTGCGTGTATGCATGATTTTTTTTTTTTTTCATGTCTGTGTGTGTGTGTTTGGGTGTGTTCTCGTCCTCTGAGCAGTCCTCCGGAAATGTGTGGGTGACTCATGAAGAGATGGAGAACCTGGCTTCCTCCACTAAAGCGGTTAGTACCATCTGGGTGCTCCCTTCCCCATTACCCCCACCTGACACCCTCTCACGCTCACGCTGTCCCCACCGTGACACACATATGTCCTCTCCTGGAAGACCCCTTTCAAATGTCGACTAAACCATACACTAATATGCATCAATGCTTCTGCTGGTATTTGTATGTGGATTGGATGCTAACTGATGTAAACTGTGGTCATGTGATCTGCGTCTTCATACAAAGGTCAATTAATACTACGAGTGCTGATATGTAATTACTGCAGAGATCTTGCGTGCGTATGTTTCTGAATGTTTAGTATGTGTGTGCTTGATTAGCTCCTGTCTCTCTAACTCAAACATTATCTTTACCATGCTGCTACTCAGGAGAATGAGGAAGGCAGCTGGGCACAGGTGAGGCTGCTGATCTGCAAAAATCTGTCTACATACAGAGTGAAAGTGCACAGAGGCTCACACACAGATATTGCCACAATTGTGTGGCTACTCTTGTGAGGACATGCGACAACATAATGCATTCTTTTGCCCCTTCCTTATCACTTTCTCACTGCTATTGTTATCTGTTATCTGATATTAAACCTAAAAAGGTTATAAACCTCAAACAGGCCTTGGTGTGAAAGGGTGTGAGGACTCTAAGGACTAGCATTCGGGTCCTCACTGTGTGATATGTCCTCGCTTTGATGATCAAAAACTCAAAGTGGTCCCCATGTAGATAGCTGGACAGGTACACACTTAAATAAAGTTACAATTCAGGTTACAGTGTGTAAAATAGATAAAACCAATAGATATCAGTACCGGTAGATAGAAAATTGCACTCACCCTTCCGCTTCAGTTACGGTGGCTGCTATAGGACAAAACACTCTGGCTGCCGATCATCTGTGGGCGATCTGTAGCTGTCGATATGCCAGGTGTCCATATCTATTCATTCTGATGGAGGATATAAAACTGGCGTTCTACGTCTGTGGCCGGTCTCTGGCCACACGCATAAAACTTGATTAGGAAAAATGGCGATCTCCATCTCCACCACTGTATACAAGATGGAGGGGTAACACAAACCAGCAGTTATTTCTATGTATTTGTTAATGGAGTAATTCTAAGTTTATGAGGATCCATCAGTTTGTTGGAAGATGTAATTATCAGTGTGTAGATATAAATAAAATAAACACTCAAAAATGAATGACTGTACCTTTAAGTCAACTTTGTTTTCAGATTATATATAAATAATAATAGCGTATGACATAAATATATAACAATGATATGAAGTGATAATTATTTTCTACCTATTAATAGGTGGGTTATATAGCTTAACCAGCAGCTGTTGTTGAATGTAAACAAAATATTAAGTCTGTTGTTAGCATTCTTGAGTCTGTTAACAGGGGTATAAAAAGCACTGAAAACATTTCTGGCTAAGAAAAACATGAGTGCTACTTATTTGTCTCACTGTACCACTAAGATATTAGCATAACCCAGATTGCCTCAGGGACAGATAGATAGAGAAAGATAGATTTGTACTATGTAAAAGTGGTACCGTGTAAAGTAAAATACACTAGAAGACAGATTTTTTTAATATATGTACATAAAATGCAGTGGAAGCGATAATATATACACGTGATATATAGAAGTAATAGATTTGTAAAATGGAGCCATAAACATTGTTCAGTCCAAATTATTCCCTGTGAAAAATATCACAGAGAGTTTTTCTAGTCTTTCATCTTTCTGTTACACTCATCATTGGATGCTGTTCTCCCTTACAGACTTTGGCATATGGAGACATGAATCATGAGTGGATAGGAAATGAATGGCTGCCCAGCCTTGGTCTGCCTCAGTACCGCTCCTACTTCATGGAGTGTCTGGTGGACGCAAGAATGCTGGACCATCTGACCAAGAAGGACCTAAGGAGCCACCTCAAAATGGTGGACAGCTTCCACAGGTCTGTAGCTGTGGCCATTAGCTTAGCTTCTGTTTGATCCGCTTTCTCTTTCATCTGCTAACTGGGTGCATTAGCAATGGAGATGAGGAGGCTAATGGTGTATATGTGCTGCTCTGTGTTTGTGTCGGTCTGTGTATTAGGGCTAGTCTGCAGTATGGGATTATGTGCTTGAAAAGACTCAATTATGACAGGAAAGACCTAGAGCGGCGAAGAGAGGATAGCCAACATGACATGAAAGGTAGAGTTTACACACACCCTGATACACACATAGTGATAAAAAAAAACATAACACAGATTCATAAGCAAGCACGCATCGACACAGCGAGAGTCTCGTCAGGCCAGAGTACCACCTAGTGGTTTTATCTGATAGCGTCAGGTTGGACTGAGCATTCAAACAGCTGCTCCTTCAACTGTCAAAAAGCCAATCTTATGATCTAAAACCTCACTTGCCAAAAGTGCTCCACACACACAGACACATGCACACACTTAGACCTAGCCAGACCTCTCGCTCTTCTGACCTTGAGTTCAGCACATGAACTTGACTCAGCTGTCGTGTCAGATCAGAATCCTGCCCTGTTTACACACGCATAAACACACACACACACATGCACACACCCCGTCTGTTCCAACTTCGAAAGCTGGCTGACAGCTGTGCTTTAAATGAACAAAGGGAGTGTGCCCGTGAGTTGACACTATGTGGACCTGCACATTATCTCTCTATTGCTTTCTCTGAACTTTTCTACAAATGACATTTATTTTACTTCAGGGTGGTCTGTTTAAAAAAATGTTTGGATATATTAATCATTCACAGTAATCATATACAGTATATTAAAAAGTAATAACATTTGTCAGTCTCAACATTTAACATTTTTGTGCAATTTTCTGGTATATATAATAATGTTAATAATACATAAAATTTTACACAGTGTCACTGCTTTTTTGGGACAGATTAATGTTGACAGTCTGTCAGCATTGGTATGTACCATGTATCGGATTTATTCTTCCTTTATTGTAGATGTTTTGGTGTGGACCAATGAGCAGGTGATCCACTGGGTCCAGTCCATTGGTCTAAGGGAGTATAGCGGCAACTTGCTGGAGAGTGGCGTTCATGGAGCGCTCGTCGCTCTGGATGAAACTTTCGACTACAGCAGCCTAGCACTCATCCTGCAGATTCCTATGCAGAACACACAGGTGGATATAAAAGAAAATAGATTGACTCCTTACACTCGACATGGAATGACTGAACTGATTTTTAGGGGAAGAAAAGTTGGATTTTTGTATAACAAAATTGAAAGTATAGTTTTGTCCATTTTATAAGGAATTATGAAAAAAGTCCAAAGTCTCTGTGCAGAATATTGACTTAAACCTAAAATAAACCAGTAAGTTGTGTTTAATTTCAAATTGCAATATCTCACACATTTTACCCATTCGATTTTTGTATAGTGAACAGGTATCTTTACCCAGAATTCAACTATTTTCTGGCCAGGTTTCAGTACACATTAGCAATCTGGCCCAGTTGTCTATATTTAAAAGTCATAGGCTCCAGCCTGCCTGCAACGCTGAATTGGATATACAGAAGAAAAGGGATGTACTGATTGATGGATGTTCAACCAAAAAATGTTTCTTTATTTAGAGGTTGTTTTACTGTATTCAACGGGTTTTTGTTTTTCAGGCGCGACAGGTTCTGGAGAGGGAATTCAACAACCTGTTAGCTTTAGGGACTGACCGCAGACTCGAGGAGGTACCTCTCAAGCTGCTATATAAATCAAATACAGTGTTGTTTGAAGAAGGCAAATTTCCTCACCTTGCTTTTCTGTCTTTGAAGAGTGGAGATGACAAGTCCTTTCGACGCTCTCCATCATGGCGCAAGAGGTTTCGGGCACGTGAAGGAGGGACTGGGCTGGGGATGATGGCAGGCTCCATGGAAACGCTGCCAGCTGGCTTCCGCATGCCGTCCATGTCCATGCCACCTTCTATGAATTTGGCATCCAAGAAACAGCTTCAACCTGAAGGTATGTTACAATACTAAGCAATACCTAGTTCATTTTCTGTATGTAGCTATGAGCCTCACTGTGGTTGCCTTGACTAACTGCATGTCGTGTCCTCTCTGTCTTGCTGTGCTCAAAATCAATTGCGTGCAATGCTCTCAAGCTCCTCCCCCAGCAACCCCGAGACTTGATCCCTCGGCTGTGCGGACCTATTCATGTTAACTACTCTCTACTTACTAACAGGAGCGTTAATGCTGACAGGTAAGCGAACAGAAGCTGGACAGGATACTGTGGTCACAGCTAGCATTGTAGGACTCTAACTTTCAAGAGGCAATTAACAAAAGGTGTGCAGGCTAAGTCTGAGAGTTTACTACTGCATATACAATAGATCAATCAAAGCAGAAGCTGTATCCAAAATTTTAATCATCATCAATCAATTCAGTTCTTTTTTATATAGAGAGAGAGCTCAATCACAATAAGAGTTGCCTGAAGGCGCTGTATATTCTAAGGTAAAGATGCCTTCTATGAGCAAGCATTTGGCGATAGTGGGAAGGAAAAACTCCCTTTTAACAGGAAGAACCCTCCTGTAGAACCAGGCTCAGGGAGACAGGACAAAAGAGACACTGTGGAAGAGAGCTAAAGACTGGCAGCATGTTGTCATCACCTACCTGAGCTGGTGGATGGCGTTAACACCCAAGTAGAGAAATATGACAGCTCGAGGAAGTAAGATTTTCTAATTCATACCATAGTTGCAGTTACCAAATGGATGAGTTTGAATCTTGGTGACCTTGAACTCAAGGTCAAGGTCAGAAGTCAAGTTTTCTGAAAATCTTTGAACACAATAAATCAAGTAAGATGTCATCTGGTATTTTGAAATTGATGCCATAGTTGGATCTGCTAGGAGACTGAGGGGTAGCTCTGGCAACCGCCAGTATTTTTAATAACTTATTTTTAATAACTTTGATGAATCAAGAAGCAGGTGCAACTTAATTTTTCTTTTTTTTTCTATTCCACTTTCCTCATCTTCTTTTCTCTCTTCTAGTGCATTCTCATTACCTATATGGACATATGCTTGCGGCCTTTTGAGAGTGATATGCCAAATCTGGAGAGGGAGACCTGGGTACCTCACAGGGAAGGCTTCGTCCCTTTGTTGCCCAGCCTCACCTTCCAACTTTCACCTCTCACCTCTTCTTCGGACACGTGCAATACAGAGGCCAACTCTGACCTTTGAACTCTTGAGAGTGCACATTGGCTGCGCTCGCTGCTGTAATGGAGGCTCATCCTGGTCTCTCCCAGTTTACCCCCGTGCTCCCAGTAGCCTTGTTGTTGTGGTTGTTGTGCTCCTGCTCCCCTGATCTCAGCTGTGGATTTTTTTCCTGGTTGTAATAGTCTCAACATGGCCAAGCCCAAACCAATCTTCCTGCGTCATCATGTCCTTTACAAGAAAACAGCGTCAAAAAGATTAAAGGAGATGGTGAGCAGGTGTTGGTTTGGATTTGAAAATGATGAATACTTGTATAAATGGCAGATCCCACCACACGTTACCCCTCTACCGGTTATGCAAGGTATTACTCATTTATCTCTGTATATAAAATGGATGACTTATGTTTTTTATAGAAATATTATATATAAATATATATATATAAATATATATATATTGGGAATATATATGGAAAACAATATAATATTGCTGTATGAAACCCAATGCCCTGTATTCAATAGTGACTGTTCTCTCTCTCTTTCTCTTTCTTTCTCTTTCTCTCTGTGTCGGACCTTCGTGTGTCTTTTGCTGTATGCTGTGCGTGTGTGAATCGTTGGTGGGAGGGACTCACTAAGGGAGGTGTGTGTTTCCACAAGGACTCTTCACAGGTTCATGGGTCCAATATCAGACTTCTCTCTTTGCCTCTTCTCCCATTCCTTCTTTTTTCCTTCTCTTCCTTCTCTTTTAACACAATGTAGCTGTTGCCTCTCCTTTCTCTGCCTCTCTCGCCTTCTGTATGACACTATGTAGCCTAGAATAGAGAGAATCCTTTAATATGAAGTGTGTGTGAGAGAGAGTGTGTGAGAGTGTATGACTAAATGAGTCTCTGTGCTTGAGACTAGTAGATTTCGTGTGAAAAGGCCGGCCCCAGCCATGCGACCATGACTTTCTCTGTGGATGGTAGTGTGACCACTGTAGCTCTTCTCTGTTGATTCCTTACATTCTCTCAAAATCAAACTGTAAACTGCTGCTCAACATCAGCCAATGAAATCCACATGAAACTGCTCCACGTGACAGACTTGTCTAATGTTGCTCTGATTGAGCAGTCAGTACTCTTGGCTCACCAACTCCTCATCCAATAAGAACACAGCAAATGAACCAGTGAAGTGCTGGATGGGTGTACAATCTTTTTCTTTTTCTTTTTTTTTAAAAAGTTTTTCCAAGGTGTCTAAAAGGTGTAACGTGCTATGTGGCAGCTATGAGTACTGTGTCTTTATTCCAGGTGTGAAACAATGCTGACAAATCAAGATTTTATTATTTGGCTATTTAAAAAGAAGTGTAATGTATTTATGACACTATATAGACATAAGTAAAGCTGTTTTTTAAAGATTTGGTATCCTGTGTTCCTTGTTAAGTTATATGTGCCAGCGTATTGTATTATAGGCTAAAAACAACACTGGACAGCGTATTGAAAATGGTCTTTATTGTAAGAATTAAACAGAAAATATCACTTTTCAGAACATCTACAAATACACAACAATCTTAGTTATAAAAGTCCAAAATAAGTTAGCAAAAAAAAATAAAAATGGCAAATCCACTCTGTAGAAAAAGGGAACGTATTTACAACACTAGCATTCATAATCAGTTTAAATTAAGCAGATCTTGGTCAAAACTGCCATGGTACATATTGGCCCCATGAATAAACTCTGGTTTTTAAGCATTAAAACTCACACACACAAAAAAAATGAATGAAAGATTAGGGAAAGCTTTTGAAGAGGAAATCTTAAATTAAGTAAGGAAAGAAAACTGGATCTGTCATTCCTCTGTGGCTCTATAAATCTGGAGGCAAGCCTAACAGGGATCACGTGTAGTAAATATGTGTTGGGTTCATGCAGCAAAGTCTTTGAATCTCCTGTAGCTTTGACAAACAGGTCTGGAACATAAGGCATAAGGCAGGGAAAAAAGGGAACAAAGCCTCAATGTGAACAGGAAAAGTCAGTTTGGCTAGCTGGCCCGTGGATCAACAGAGCTGCAATACTTGTCAAATGGAAACATTTTTTAATTTGGCATAAGACAAAATAATTTAATCAGCAGAAGCACAAAATAGACATAATTTAGGATTAAAGGTCACTGCTTTTTGTTTGCTCGCTGTGCACCTACTGGCCGGCTGGTCTAAGGGTCTATTTGGGAATGTCCACAGGAAAGGCCACAGGTCCATCTGCTGCAGAGATGCTGTCCACAATGGAGGTCAAGGCCCGCATGTTCCCCTGCTCTGGAGAGTCAGCAACGCTCAGGAGATCTGCAAAAAGACCCAGTTACACACTGAGTACCTGTGAAGGTGCTACCTAGTCTACCTAGTTTAATGGGACTAAGTGAACTGTGCTTACCCTCGCTGCTGTAGCTCTGCGTGCACTGCTCTGGAGTGCTGCTCCACTCCGGGCTGCTGCAGCAGGTGCTGCCTGAACTGGGCTCGCTTGACGACGACACCTGTTGCCATGGCGATGCACACACACAAGTTGCTGTCAGTCACTCTGTTATGATACAGCACACCATACCACCCCACACAGAAAAACAACACACACTAAAGTGCAGTGTACTACCACGAACGCACATATAGTTAATGCATCCCGTGACCCCACTCAGAGGCAAATGTACACGATGAAAAAGACTTTCCATTACTATGACGCCTGTCACAGGAGTTCTTGTCAGTGTCTTTAAAAACACTAATGAGCTACACTGGATCATGTTTTTAAAAACCTTTTAAAACACAACATTTTTGCTCATTGTATGGCTGAATACATACTCACAATAACCTCAAACCTTATCCAGAATGAATAAATCAAAAGGAACATGAACAGATAATCAAATTTACACATTTTTGATTTGACATTTTACCCCAGTCATTTTTTAATGTAGTATTTATCTTTCTCTTTACTGTACCGCTCATTTTTCTCCCATATCTTCTGCCACTTTCCAACTAGTGCTGTTCCCAACTCTGTTTCCCTCTTGGCTGATTTCTCTGTTATTTTGAATTTCTCCCTTCCCTCGTCCTGTCTCTGTCCTACTTACTCTGGGTTGAGTTGGACTGGGCCGGTAGAGCAAACCCTGCTGTCCTGTCTCAGTGTCCTGCTGGTTGAGGGAGGACACCAGGGCTTGGAGCCTTTCAATATACTGGATGGCGCTCCGCAAGATCTCAACCTTGGGCAGCCTCTGGTTGGGGTTCATCAGCGTGCTCCTCTTCAAAGCATCGAAGGCCTCGTTCACCTTCTTTAGGCGTCTCTTCTCCCTCAGTGTGGCTGCTCGCCGGCGGTCCATGGTCACTGTCTTCCTTTTACACAGCTTACAGGCCCAGGGAAGACACTGACCTGGGCAGTGGGGCTCGGAGTGAGGCGACATGCTGGATGGAGAGGCTTTGTCCTCGGTACCTGTCACTCCAACTCCGACACCCCCAGACAGGTTCCCACACAAGCCCATCATGGAGTTCCTGTCCTGGTAGCCAGCTTGGTCATACGCCCCGGGCAGGCGAGAGGGGAAGTAGCTGTCCCCTCCTTCATAGAAGCGCTGGTCAGGGAAAAAATAAGGGTTGGTCTCAAAAAGCTCCATACTGGACAGTTGTGGTCTGGATACAAGGGAACAAAGATCCCAGCTTTCCTAGGAACTAGTCTTCAGTATTCGCTCTTCTGTCCTGTGTCTGGAGTTTGCGTTGGAGTGTACGTGTGTGCACCTATCTTCTTCCCGGCCTGAGTTTGTGATGAGTGGAAGACGTGTGGAGAGCAACTGGTGTGGAGCAACTGTAGACTGGCATTTAAACCCCTCTGCCTTCTGCTGGATCACAGGGTTAAATTTAGCACGAGCCCCCAGAAACCTGACACGACGTTTAGCTGTTGCTGCACATCTACACATCACATCTCTGTTTGGCCCTGCTCTCTAGGGCTTTAAGGCCCAGTTGTACGCGTGCGTGTTTTTCTGTGGGTTTGTGTGCTCATGTATTTCTTAAGAGGCCAGGACATGATCAGGTTGAAATGGGAGAGACAGCCTCAGATCAAAGGTGTCCATCTTAGTAAGTTAATCCCAGACTTGCGTCCCCTTCCGAACATGAAGAGTTCCATCATTAAGTGGGGAGGCAGAAGGGACATTCTGGAAACAGCTGTCACTTCTGCTGGGAGCCAGTGGCACACAGTGACAATACATTGTTTGACTTCAGGTTTTTGATGGGAAGTCAATGAGGCAAGAGACTGTTGCTTACTCTGGACTGCTGTGAAGCACTGTCAGACTCATAATGTGATCAACTTGGTCAATACCAAAAAAAGCTCAGGTGACATTGTTCCTGTGGTTTATGTAACTGCATTCATATCCACTGACTTTCATCCTCAGATGATTGCACTATGTGATGCAAGTGACCTTCTGAGTTATACTAGCCTCAGAACCAGGCAGGTCTGTGCAGGAACCATCAGCAGAGTGAGCTGCTAGGCTGACACTGGCTCACATTACCCCCAGAATTTAAGGGACAGTAATGAGTCAGCCACACAGAGGGAATGGCCTTGGTTGTCCTGACCTCTTCCAGCAAGTCATAGCATTAGCCTAGCCACTGGGTGTTAATCCTTCCAGGACATGTCTCACCTCGTAGCTCATCAGCTAATTCTGACTAGCTTCCGCTAACATTGCAGCACAGCCAAAACACACACTTCTGTCAGCAGAGAAGTGGCCTGGAGTGACAGGCAAATCATGAGGAGTGTTACATGAGTCTGTACTCTATTTCTTTACAGTAAGTTTATCACAGTAATACACTACCTCTCAGGAGATGTTTTGGAAGAGACAAATTGCTAGCAGTTTCCTAATAACCACAGTTCATTAAACTTAGAGGGTTGCAAGGTCTGGTGAATACCACTGCCAATGGTATTCTCCAACCAATGAAAGAGTAAATACACGTTTTTTGAAACAAAAGTAAACAATACTATATCATTGGAAACCATGAGTTCAATATTTAAAATAGAGAAAATAAAGAAGAACTAAGGACTTAATAGTGTCACGATAAGACATGAAAAGCTAGGTTTTATACTTTTCCTGCTTATAAAATCAAAGAACAGCAAAAATTCTGGCACAACTTCACCTACTTCCAAGGTGCATGGAGAGGATGAGAAACTCACAACGCAGGGACTCGAGGAACACTTAAGAGTATGACCCTGATGAAGGCCACAAGCCAAAACGCGTTGGTCATAATAAAGTTGTTCCTCTTTACTTTTAAGTGTTGCTGGAGTCCCTGCTTATAAAATTAAAGAACGCATTATTAATTCCGGTCTTATGTGAAAATTTTGAAGGTTCGACATACCAGGGAGCCTTTCCAGCTAGCTCCCTAAAGCTGCTTTTAATATTTAAACTACAGCATTGTAAAACCTTCTTACATGTTAGCTTGCAAGTTAACACTATTATGGAATTTAGTTCTCTCTCTAGACCTCTACCATCCAGTTTTCTATTGTCCAATGTTGGTGAGCCCTTGCATATTATAAGGTTTGATGAGATGCTCTCCTGCATACCTTGCTTGCAGTAGACTGCAGTAGTAGTTATTTAAGTTTCTGTTGTGTTCCTATCAGCTCAAACCAGTCTGTCTATTCTCCTCTAATGTCTGGTGTCAACAAGGCCTTTTCACCCAGATGAAAATCTACATTAAAAAATACATATTTTTATTGCTCAGATTAATTTTTTATTTCTGACTTTTTTCCACATCAGTGACAATCTCACACAGACCGGATTTCGGATGAGAGAACTCAAGATGTTGCTATTTCCTCATTATAACTGCCCCTTAAAGCCTCTATGTATTTATTTTTATTGTGGATCAGCGTTGCCTAAACAGCAGCTTGTTTAAAAGAATATATTAATAGGCCTGGTTTGTGGCAGATATGTTGATATTTCGTGTAAGAGAAAGCACAGGTGCAACCAATGATTTCCATTTAAGCATTCCAGGGTTGTGCTGGTTCAAAGGGTTAATGACACACAGTGGAACAGAGCCTCTTATTTCTTACTGTTTATTCTTTACCTGTGTTTTATATCCTTTTGAAGGTAACAAACACAAAGTTTCAGTTAGACACAATCAAAACAAAAAATTTTTACAAGTCAGTGAATTATCTACAGGAAGATTCCAGTCCTGGGATTAGGTGCCAGGCAGAGGTTTGGCAGGCCCGTCTGGTGGCTTGTGGTATCCTCCTGGGGTTTGGGCTTGGGTTTAAGGCAGAGTGCACAGTCTTAGCTTGGCACGGGGCTGGGTCGGCTGTCAGGTTAGTCTGTGATGGATCGTCACTGATGGTGGAGTGAGTACAAAGAAGCCTGTGTTGGACTCAGGGGTACAGCAAGGAGGGGGTTTGCAGTGTGTCAGAATCACTCATAACCCTCTGTCATCTTAACCCATTGTCAGCAGAACTAGATGTGTGTGTGTGTGTGTGTGTGTGTGTGTGTGTGTGTGTGTGTGTGTGTGTGTGTGTGTGTGTGTGTGCCCCTCAGTATTTGAAGTGAACACTTAAGATACAGAACAGTTTGTTTACCTGTGGTTTGCTAATACTGTACTTTATTTTCCATCTTAAAATAGGCCAAACCAGTGAAAAATAGGCTGGCTCTAATTTAATTATGATTGATTGGCCCCATGTAAGAAATAATGCAAAAAATATGCAAATTAATACCTATTGTGACATTTGGATTTATTCTCAGAGCTATTGATTAAATTACTAAATAAATATGAATAATATAATATAATATAATATAATATAATATAATATAATATAATATAATATAATATAATGTAATATAATATAATATAATATAATATAATATAATATAATATAATGTAATATAATATATAATGTAATATTTACCCTACCACCTACTGGTGTTGGCCAGAGGGGCCGATGGCGCGATATGGCAGCCTGGCTTCTGTCAGTCTGGCAACACTGTTCCACTTCTCCTCAGTGACAAGCAACAGCACATTGTGGGACAGCTGAGCTCTGGGGGAGGAGGGAGGGATCAGTCCTCCTCACCCCAGGTTAGCCTCAAGTTTTCCAGTGACCTGGAGAGCTGTCATCTGAGTGCAGTCGGGAAATCTCAGATATGTAAGAGGAGAATAACATAACAACAGCAAGGAACTGTTTATTAGAGGTGGCTAAACCAGGTCTTCCATCCAGTGATACATTACGATATAGGACGGAAAACAGGATACACAAGTTGTTTAAACAAATAAAATACATGCTTTTGTTTCTACTTTATTTGGATGTTAAACTCATAAAACTCATAATAATTCCCATGAGTTTATTTGTATTCTAACAGCTTTATGTGCTTTAGTGTCCAGCATGAGCGCTAACCTATTATTTTGACTGGTAGAGAATCGGAAGGAAGCAGAATCACTCAATTTTGACTTTTGCTTGAAATTTTGTGAACACTTTAGAAACAACCTTTTTTGGCTTCTTTGTTACCTGCCAGGCTATGACCCCTCTTGCTACTGGAGAGATCTTTTTTTTTTTTTTTTTTGATCAAGCACTCCTGGGCAGTGTAACAATGATCTTCAATTTTTCTCAATTTATGCTATCTGTCTGACTTTCTATTGTTGGAGTAGAAAGTGTAGCAATAGTTCTGTAACCTTTTCCAGCCTGGTGGGCTTCAATAAGCCTTTTTTCTAAAGGACCATAGAAATCTCATTTGTGCATGGTAAGATACAGTCCCTCAGACATGGCAATGGATTTTTTTTTTTTTTTTTTTAAATAAAAAGGACTGAAGACAGATGACTTTTTTTTTTAATCAACTTCTAATCCTCAATGTGTTCATAGACTTGCTGGTGTATTTTTTTCACTCTATAAATAACAGTTATGTTCTGCTTGTGGTGAACTGCTCGGATGTCTAAATATTTATTTAGATCATTCAGAATGAGTCAGAAAGTTTAACATTTTAAAGAAAAAAGACACAGGAAATTATTAATTATTGTTTTCCACATGCAAAAAATAAAGTCTCATTCCTGGCCTTTCTGTACTCCTGGAAAGCAATATTCAGTCTGAAATCCAGACTCATGCAGCATTATTATGTACTAGTTTCATGCCTTTGGGAGAGAGCATTGTCACCATAGTGACAGCAACACATGTCCAAGTCTGTCGTCTCAGAGACTGTCGCCATGAAAACTGCACATCCATTCCTAAACTCTTTGATATCAGAGCTTTTCTTCCAGATTACGATGAGGTTATACTTACTATAGAGCATTAATGTTGTATAGGATCATTATATGGAGATGTGACAAAGCAGCCGACTCCTCCTCGACAATCATCAGTGCATAAAACACAATGAGAGCAAATTAAAATATTCACGGTCAGATCTGATTACTGCACTGCTGTGTCCCACTATTTCTGTTGAGTAATGACCCTTACATAAGTGATACAGTTTGACGACCCCCCCAAAGGTGATGTGACACTACTATGGCCTGGCTAATCATCGGGAGAATACTCCCATTCATTTATACTCAGAATGAAGTGCCCCACCTGTGTTTGCACAGGGCTCTGGAGGCCTGGAGAAAGCCTTCTAAGTCAGGGTAGGGGGAACAGTAGTTCTGTAGCCCAGCCGTGCTGCTGGTCACTGGGGCTTTTATTGCAGAGTAATCCCCTACAACAAACAGAATGGCCGGCATGTGCATACGCAGCTGTCGCAGTCTTAGTGCAAGTGGTGTCATGTTAAATCACAGGAATGGACTGAGCCCCTGCACCATCCGCTGCCCTTCCCTTCGCTGGCATCCCACTCACTGAAAGGCTCCAGCACACAGAGACAAATACAC